TTTTTTTTTTTTTTTTTTTTTTATGTATTTCACATTTTGACCTTTCTATTTATTTATTGGTTTTTATGATGTTGATTCTATTTTTCAGGTTTTTGTTGTTGTTATGGGTCTATTATTTTTTAGCCGATAATCTCTCGGAAACAACCTCTTTATCTCTTCGGGGTAGGGATAAGGTCTGCATACATTCTACCCTCACTAACCTCACTTGTAGGATCCTACTGGGTTGTTGTTGTTGTGTTTATATTACCATCTTTGAAGAACACCCTTAAAATGCCCAAAGAATAATATGTTCCTCCATTTACTGAAATTTGTAATCTATATATGTAATTGAGTAAATAATATTCGTATTTTGTATCTATAGGAAAAAATTCCTTTTACCATTCTATGACCTATTAAGTAATTGTCATTTGTTTGAGTACTGGACATTACAGGGGTATATCTAGGTGGAGTAGTGTAGTTTTACTGTGCGCATCAATGTACCTTTTCCTAAATCATGTAAAAGAGTCCAATGGTGTAATGTTATCGGATATACATTTGCGGTAAATTCGGGATAATAAATCATGTTAAAAAGTCGTATAGTGTAATGTTATCGGATATAGAGAGAGAGTTCATTCCTCAAATGGTCATTCAACTATCCCATATTATCTGATAAAGTCATTTTTCTTTCATTTGTAACAACAAAATCATTTAACTATGCATATAGCACTTATAAGGTTACTCAACTAGATTTTCCAAAAATTTAATTGTCAAATACCTATTTTACCCTTTAAATTATCATTTTTTTAACTTTTTAAATATTATAAGTTTTTTCTCTTTTTAATCTACATTGTAGACTTACCTATATATAAATATATTTTATTTATAAAATAAAAATAAAAAATTAGTTTTCAGCTCATATAATGACGGAATAATAATAATATACTTGAGCATAATTTTCAACCATATATAATATATATTATAAAAATACCTTCATTTAAATAATTATTTTTATATTACGTGCATGGAATATATATTTTAAAACCTTTATTTTCTTTCATTCTCAATTGTGTAAATAATTTTTTAAATTTTTGTTGTTTATACTAAAATTAAAATTATTACAAACAAGTTATTCTAATTAATTTTTTTACTATGCTCATTATTTTGTTATTCCAGCATTATATATGCTTAAATACTTTTTATTTTTTTAATTTATAAATATTTTTTATTTATTATATAGGTAAGTCCATAATATAAATTAAAAGGGAAAAATCATAATATTAAAAAGTTAAAAAAAATAAAAAGAAGATAAATGTTTATAATTTAGAGGGTAAAATAGGTATTTGACAATCCAAAATTTGAAAAATCTAGTTGAGCGACCTTTTGAGTGGTATAGGCATAGTTAAGTGACTTTGTTGTTACAAAAGAAAGAAAAATAACTTTAGCAGATAATTTGGGATAGTTGACTGACAATTCGAGTAATGAACTCTCTCTCTCTCTCTCTCTNGTTTGGTTTATATTTTAAAATTCTTAAGTCTGTTCTGTAATCGTAAAATTTTATATAATTAAAATAAGTGTATATTAAAAATAAAATAAAAAAACCGCGATGGAAAATATAATATATAGTCATTGGGCTCAACTCATCAAATGTAAATTCTGATCCATCTCGTCGTAAGAATGCACCTATCTTCTTAAAATCTCGAATACGCCTCTACTGGACAACCGATGCTGGTAGTACATCGGTGTAAGTTAGTTAGCTAACTTGCAAACGGAATATCTAAACGAGCTCTCCAACAATAGTTAATAAACAACCAAATAGAATCTAAACTTCAACTGTTATGATATATGTATAACAATCATTCAGTTTATCAGCCAAAAAATATCCAGACAAACATCATTACATAGAAATCTAATCTTACATCACAATCATTCCTCCTTTTTTGCTTTATCAAACAAATTGTCACATAAGTTTGTTAAAGAATTTCTCGAACAGCTGCATAAAAAAAAATAAAAAAAAAAAAGTCGCTACTTCAAATCATTGATATGGCTGATTATTTTGAAAGGATGCAGATCACAAAATACTAAAGCACATTAATTAAATATGGAAAAACTAACACGGAATATTTTATGCACCGTGCCCTATGAAGGCTGATTAATATCTAATTTGTTTCAATATGTGTGGCCACCAAAACGTCTTTGTCTTTGTTGAAAGGAAAGTATGGCCTCCTTCAGATTATTTTCTCCAAAGTCAGGGAATAAAGTCTTTGTAAAATACAATTCAGAATAAGCCAACTGCCACAATAAAAAGATACTAATTCTTTGTTCTCCACCAGTTCTTATAAGTAAATCAGGTTTAGCAAACTTGATACACTTCGTAACGAGTTCTCGTTCGAATAAATCGTTGTTAATATCCTCCAACTGCAGAAGACCGTCTTTTACTTTACTAGCAATGCTTTTGGTTGCTTGTAATATGTCATAATACCCTCCATAGTTTAGTGCAATCACAACATGAAGTCCTGTGTTGGCTTTTGTGGCCTCTTCTGTCAACTCTATGCGTTTTTGTAAAAGTGTGGGAAGTTTCGATCTATCTCCAATAATAGAAATTCGCATCTCGAGCCTGTAGCGACAATATTTGATTTGACACAAAGTTTAATGTTTTTCGTTTTTGAATTTTGTATTCTAAAACAAGATATACATATTTGGACTATCGTGAAATTCGCTAAAGAAGTTGATTACCTCATAAATTCTTCAAAGAACTCTTCGAACAGTTGCATCAAGAAATCAACCTCCTCCTACTCAAAATCAAATATATATTTTGTTATTCAGCCTCAACAACGAAAACAGATTTGTTTTCAAAATTAATCATATGGAGCTAAAGAATTAAATTTTCTATATCATGATTCAAGTGACTATGAAAAAAAATACAATAACAACAACAAACTCATTATAATCCCACAAAGTGGGGTCCGGAAAGGGTAATATGTACATAGACACTTGGCTCAAGAAAAGATAAAAAGGAACGAGTAACAACAAGCAGTTGCAACAGGAAGATAAGATGATAAGAAAACGAAGCGAAAGAAATAACATATAGTAATAGTATTCTGGAATAAGAAAATAAGAGACTAATATTAATACTACCGACATGAAAAAGAGACACGCTGGACTACCTACTAAGCTTTTACCATAATTCTTGACCTTCACATCGGCACACCCTCCTATTATTATATAAACTGAAGTTGTGTCATGTCTTGCATAATCACGTCTCTACAATACTTCTTAGGCCTACCTCTACCTCTACCTCTGATCCTCAGACTACGAAAAAGAATGTTGACGCTAAAACCAGATACGTCGTTACTAACATCAGAAAATAATCGAATCAAATAGAAGATCGATCTATATATGCACTAGACGATTTAACTTCAATAGACAATGAAAACGAATGATAACGCTAAAACCAGAAGACGATGCACTAAGCATTATTCACGCATCCTAGGGGTGTAACCCTAATGGAAGCATTGGTTGATACTTCCACGGCTCGAACCCGTGACTTATAGGTCACATGGAGTCAACTTTACCGTACTAACATCAGAAAATAATTATATGTAGGATGCGTACCTACCTTGGAGCGAGTCCAGTTTTCAGTAGAGAAAGCAAAAGCAGTGAGAACTTGTATTCCCAGTTTAGAAGAAACGTTACAGATCTGTTTTAAATTAGGAGCAAGATATTTGTGACCTTCTTGCACTGGTAAGCCTCTAGCCTTAGCCCATCTCCTGTTTCCGTCCATTATTATAGCAACATGTTTAGGGATAAGCTGATCATTAATATTATCAAAATTACAGTTCAGTGAGTTTGAAATCTTCCCTAAACCACGCGCAGATAGTACTAATGATGTATTATTCTGCCGTAGACATGATATTTTCTTGGATGGGAGGGGCTGCCATAGGAACAAAGAGGTCATTATTTTGCGGGGGTGCCGGGGGTGTGTGGGGGGTAAGCAGCGCAGGTACTTATCTCAGTGATATAAAGAAACTAATCTAGTTGTTTAAATAGACATGAGTCGAGAGGCGGAATCAGGATATGAAGTTTATAGGTTCTGAATTGCCACGGAACACATGACTCTTTTAGTAAGTGGGTTCATAGTATACATATTTAATAGACTTTTAATATAAATACAAAGTTGATACCTTCTTCCGGGCATTTATATTTTTTCATTTGCTAAGTATTGTTTGTAATAGCACATAGTGTATCATAAACTCCGTGATGATCATAGAATACCTCGTTTTCACTAGATCTTATTTTCTTCATACCTCATTAGGTTTTGTAAAGTAATTCTTTGCACTCCTTACTTACCCCTACCCCGACCTCGAACCTTGAACACTAATCCCGACCCCAAGCTCGAACCCCTAATCGATCTGGACTTTGATTTATAGCCCCGAACCCCGACCTTAGTTAGGTTTATAATTTTAATGATGATCAAAAAGAGTTAATCGTACATTACTAATGCGGTGCTCCATGTGCAGGACAGTTAAAATAGGATGAAGGAGAACAATGTGGGAAGCCAAATCACTGCTGGATAACGGTTGAAGAGATAACATCAATCAAGACGGCGTGGTGGCGTTGGTCGAGGTGGTTTGGATAAGGTTGGGGTGCAAGCTGGTAGGTCAGGGATCTGGGGGGCGGGGTGGCGAAGGTGTAGATTGGGGGTGAGCAGGGGCGGCCAGAGGGTGAAGTCACTAAAGCGGAGGCTTTAGACCCCAGAATTTTAAGGGCCTTAATTTTTGTTTTTCAATTCCTATTTGATGTCCGGTATTTAATTTGGGGCATTGAATAATTCGAATTTGTACCGTGTAAAGTTCATTAGAGTGGGAATTGTCCCTTAGAAGGGATTGTTTTCATTCTAAATATTCGAACCGAATACTTCCGGTTAAAGAAGGAGAGATGCTATCCATCCCACCTCAACTCTTCTCGTGAGGCCCAAATCGTTTTAAGAAAATATTAAGTATTTCAAAGTAGAAAAGTAAAATATAATATATATATATATTAAGCATTAGAAAATAAGTTATACACTTTAAAATTCTATTTTTTTTCCTCGGGTTTTCATAACTGCAACAAGTATATTGAAATATCAAAAAATTCTTTTAATATAAAGTTATCAACTTCTAGAATCATGTTCTATTACTTAATATCAATACTGTCACATGAGATATTAAATGGTTTATCAAAAAATTATTAAAAATTTTATTTTCAAAAAGCTAGAAAAATCTTCTACTAAAAATATGTAGGATTTTTTTTAAAAGGCCTCCCATTAAAGTTTGGCTTTACCAAACTTATTGAGCCGCCCCTAGGAATGAGGGTGGGATAGGAAAGATTGAAAGTGAGTTTTGAAAAATAATTTTTCCTCTTGATAGAGAAGTCATTTTCTTCCGATTGGAGGAAGACATATTTATGAGGAAACTATTTTTCGAAACATTTATGCCAAACAAGATATATAAAAAAAACTAGAAAATATTCCTTCATACCAAACAGGCAAACTCACCCTAAATGTTAGTAGAATTTGTAGCACTCGGTTTGTGATTTTTTAAATGATTTTCAATACAGATTTCAAATTTTGGAGTCTGCTGCTAACGTTTATGATAATGACAAGAACAACGTTACTTCTTCTTCGATATTAAATTGTACAATTATACCAATACATATTTTTCTTATATATATATATATATATATATATATATGTTAGGAAACAAGGGGCACATGCACCCATCCTCTTGCCAAGTAAAAGCAGATTTTTTGTATAAATTTTTAATCGTTTAGCCATATAGAGTAGATGGTACCATGCTCAAATTTTGGCTTGGTGCCTCCGGTCGAGGCCCTATGGACACACATTAATATAATACCACGTATTTAGTTTGTATTTCGGAGTTCGTTTTTTGTTTTAATTCTATTTTTATTCCCTTCTTATCATTTTTCTTTTTTTTTTTAATCTCCTTCTCCAATTTTTCATGGTAAACAATAACTTAAGGAGTCAGAAATTAAACTACTGATTACTTCCATTGAGATTTGTCTTTATCTTGAACCACTATATATTAGTTTTATTATAAATAATTTATATGACAATAAGATCTAAGTTCATGATGAGACTTGCTTAAATATTTTTATCCCAAATTATAGTTTATCTCTTTGAATAATGTGCAAAATTATTAATATGTCATAAAACACTAAAAGAATTACATCTCTTGATATTATGACAAGTATCGTGGTGCACCCATAATCTTAAATCCTGGATCCGCCTATATATATATATACTGCTACATGTGACATGTGATGTTACAGATAAATTTGTCGTGCCTGCCTGCCATTGTTTATTTATTCTCACTCTTTATTTTATTTAAACTTATGGTTTAAACCTTTAATAGTATGCTTTTTCAACTACCATAACTCCATTCTATGAAGTCACTAACAGTTGGTCGATGTAGGCTACAGGTATTGTTTTTGGTTTCTCACTCAGTATCCGCTATAATATTGGGGCCCGATTAAATACGGATTCATGCCGGAAAGTCCCACATTGAAGGGTAAAGCGTTCCCTAACAAAAATGACTCCATACCCAGGGACTCGAACCCGAAATCTCTGATTAAAGATGAAGGAGTACTAATTACCACTCCACCACAACCCTTATTAGTCAGGTTACAGGCTTGTGGCTCAAGGAAGACTTTTTATCTCTGTTAATTAGTTATGTACTTTGGATTTTACCCAATATTATGACTTACTCTCACCTATTGTTTATACAAAATGGAACTAATTTACCGTGGTTAAATTATAAATCGAACTAAGTTATGTAGTCATTTGGTTTAGTCTAAACACCGGATACAAAAATATTTTGCCATAAAACTAAATGAATGAACTGAAGGGAAAAAATAAAAAATATGTAAAGAAAATTAATGATCATGGCAGAATCTCTGGCAGTGAGGATAAATGTGAAAATGTTCACCCCATTAAAATCTAACTCCTCATTAACCATAGTTAGAATAAAAATAATATCAAGTCTGGTCATTTCGCCAAAACTTGTGAATAAATTAAACAATACAAACAACTCTTGTCAATCCATTGAAACTTGTGAATAACTTAATAAGATTGGTAAAATGAAGATAGCTGCAAGTCTTGTCGGTCCAACAATAAACTTATGACCAATTAAACAACATATATAGGCATATCTTGCCAATCAGTCAAGAAGACTTATGAAGCTATAGCTTTGCAATTATATAATTTATAAACTTACGGAGTATACATAAAAATGTGCGTAATATTTAATTAGGAAACAACAGAATCTTATCTCCTTTCCATTTTTGGATACAGAAGAGCTAGACAACAAAATGTGTATTATAGAGGACATATAACATGGAATATAAGAAATATATAATGTCACGATCATGTCAGGTCATGTGTCTTAAAAACATAATTCATTGCGGGCAAGGGTGGAGGCAGAGAAGTCGAGCTACGGGTATTGAGTGTCGGTCTAATAAAAAAAAGTAAAATCTAGTTGCTTCTCTTGTCGGATCCGAAACTGATATTTTTTTTTTTATGGTGTAAGGGTCGGCAACAACTCCCTTTGAAAGGAATCGATCGTCAACGTCTTTGGTTCCATCCACCCGCCGCCTTCGGTCAACTCAAACAATAGGTCAGGAAGGACATTATTGAAGGCTCACTGAGTGCTTCTAGGTTAAAGGAAGCACTAGACTCACTCCACGGGAACTAGCTTTTCGATTTGCTTCAGATTTGGCATTCATTCTCCCATAATTCTTGGATGTTCGGCCGAACACAGTAACTTTTACTCAAACAATATAATTATGTTAAGAAATTATTAATAAGTATTAACTAACTTAATTAGAATCTAATTATTACTAACACTTAAAATCGTTTCTAAAATTCAAAACCCATAAATTAAAATTCTTGCTCCGTCTGTGATTGCGAGGTGTTACTTTTAAAAGAAATCTCGACAGCACGTAGGGTGTGTTTGGTATGACGGAAAATATTTTCCAATTTTCCCATATTTTGTTGGCTTAAATGTTTTGAAACATTTTCCTCATGAACTCTTTTTTCTCCAATTGTAGGAAAATATTTTCCCTATCAATAGAAGGGAAAACATTTTCCAAAACTCCTTCTCAACCTTCCCCACCCTATTCCTCATCCCACCAACCCACCCCCACAAGGTATTTCTACTCTCTAACCAAATACTAGAAAATATTTTTCGAAATAAGTTTTGCACTCACCAACCAAATAAGGAAAAACTTATTTTTCATGAAAACATTTTCAAGGAAAACATTTTCCTTTCCCAGACACACCCGTAATTAGAAATGAACGCATCCCATCTTTAATTGCATATGGTTTCTTATCATAATCGTCCATTATTGCATATGTTTGTTATTACTATTAAATTAAATAATTTGAATAGATAAAGGGCATGGTATAAATATAACTCAAAATAACAATATTGAACAAAAAAAAACAAGTTAAGAGATATAGAGAGAAAGAGAGGAAGAGAGATTCTTATTTCTTCTTCAATTGTGTCTTTTTTTTTTATCTATTACAAGGCCTTTATATAGGCATGAAAAGTGAATAAAAATATGTCATTGAATATGTCATTAAGCATAGAAATATGTCAATGAATATGTCATTAAGCATTTGAGAAGATCATGCAGGAAGAGTAGACATCCAACATAATTTGATTTCTCTTATAACACTCCCCCTTGGATGTCCATAGATAATGTGCCTCGCTAAAATCTTATTAGAAAAAAATCTTATGGAAAACAAAATCATAGTGAAGGAAAAAGAGTACACATATTTAAAAATACGCCTTTTGGTTGCCTCGTTAAAAATCTTGCAAGGAAAACCCAGTGGGACAAAACTTTGTAAGGGAAAAAGAGTATAACGCGTATTAATTCCCCCCGATGAGAGCATCAATT